GAGATCGTGCCATTGCACTCCAGCCTGGGTAACAAGGGCGAAGCTCCGTCTTAAAAAAAAAAAAGCTTTAAATTCAGCTGGTGCAGTGGTTCAGCCTGTAATCCCAGCACTTTGGGAGGCCAAGGTGGGCGGATCACAAGGTCAGGAGTTCGAGATCAGCCTGACCAACATGGTGAAACCCCATCTCTACTAAAAAATTACAAAAATTAGCCAGGCATCATGGCGCGTGCCTGTAATCCAGCTACTCAGGAGGCTGAGGCAGGAGAATCGCTTGAACCATTGAACCCGGGAGGCAGAGGTTGTGGTAAGCTGAGATCGCACCATTGCACTCCTGCCCTGGCAACAAGAGCAAAACTCTGTCTCAAACAAACAAACAAACAAACAAAAGCCTTACATTTTTTAGAAAGTTAGTTTGGGGATGGGGGCCCCGCTGTTTGAGTCAATTCAAATACCAATTCAACAAATAAGGTTTAAATAGGATGTACTCAATACAAATTTGGGGCTCCTTGAAAACTTAAACAGCAGTATATTCTAATAGACAATGCTATACATGTTATACCACTATAGTTGTGCTATCCTTCCAGCTTTGTCTTTAAACATGAGTTTAAATCACCTCACAATCGATCTACTCCGTAAACTCCAATTTAGTTTCTACCTCTATAGCTCTTGCAGTATATTCACAACTATCTCCCAATAGCTAAATCCAATAGCCTTTTCTCTACTTCACTGACTTCTACAGAATTGATCACTACCTTCTTTATTAATTTTCAGAGACAGGATCTTGCTCCATCACCCAGGCTGGAGTGCAGTGGCACAATCATGGCTTACTACAGCCTTAACTTCCTGAGCTCAAGAGATCCTCCTGCCTCAGCCTCCCCAGCAGTAGCTGGAACTGCAGGCATGTGCCACCATGCCTGGCTAATGAATTTTTTTTTTTTAAATTTTGATTTGGAGTCTTGCTCTGTCACCCAGGCTGGGTGCAGTGTTGCGATCTCGGCTCACTGCAACCTCTGCCTCCCGGGTTCAAGTGATTCTCTGCCTCCCGAGTTCAAGCGATTCTCTGCCTCAGCCTCCTCAGTAGCTGGGACTATAGAGGCAGGTGCCACGAAGCCCTGCTAATTTTTGCTTTTTTCGTAGAGACAGGGTTTTGCCACATTGGCCAGGCTGGTCTTGAACTCCTGGGCTCAAGTTATCTACCTGCCTCAGCCTCCTAAAGTGCTAGGATTACAGATGTAAACCACCACACCCAGCCTATTTTTATTTTAGAGATTGGGGTGGGGGGTTCCTCACTATGTTGCTCAGGCTGGTCTCGAACTTCTGGCTTCAAGTCCTCCTACTTTGGCCTCCCAAAGTGTTGGGATTAGAATTGTGAGCCACTGTGACTGGCCATTGCTTTCTTTTTTTTTTTTTTTTTTTTTTTTTTT